TAATAATAATATAATGTGTGTATGATCAGTTGAGCAGGTCATTGGTTTCAAACACATGTTCCACCAAAGAAAATAATAATAATAATAATATAATAGGGCTTAAAGGGCTACACGAGCCCAAGCCCTTTTTTACAAGACTTATCAGAACCAAGCCCTTAAGCTCGATTACTTTAAAAAAAATTATTTTTAAAGCCCGAGCCCTTGTTTAAACAGGGCCTCTAAGCCTGACCCTTCAGGCTCGACCCTTATTCCCAACTCTAGATGCAGATGGCTTTAGTGGAGGCATTTGGTATCTTTGAAGGAAGGACCTTTTGAACGTTACAGTTCTTGGAAAAAAACAATTCATCCACTTGCTTATTGAGAATTTAAAACATGAGAGATGGTTCCTTGCTATCATTTATGGGAGTCCTAATTATGGTGTAAGACATTCTCTTTAGCAAGATCTAATCAGATTGAAGAGTAGGATTATGAGACCATGGAGTTTGTTAGCTGACTTTAATGCCACCCTCTTTCACTAAGAAAGAAAGTCTCTAACTACATCACCTATTGGAGTTGATAAAGGCTTTTGTGATTTTATGAATTTTAGTCACTTAAATGACATTAGCTTCCAAGGTCCTCATTTTACATGGCAACATGGTGATTAGAAAGGGAGATTGGATTGAGTCTTGGCAAATAACATTTGGTTTAATACTTTTTCCAATACTTATATCATGCATCTCCACTGATATCATTCAAATCATTGGCCACTATTACTTCATTTGTCCAAGCAGTACTTTGAGTCTAGTAATTATTCTCGGTTAGTCCACTTTATTGCTTCATAGGTCCTGCATGAAAATTTTGACAAGTTTGTTAAAGATACAGAGAAGAAAGAAATCATGTGGATTGATCAAGTTTCTTGTTTCATTGAAGATTATAAAAGATAGAACAAAGAAGTGTTTGGTCATACAAAGTTGTAAAAAAAAGAAGCTCCTTAGAAGATTAGAAGGTATAAATTGAGCTCTTGCTAATGGTGGACATAAAGATCACCTAATAAAGCTTCAAAAGGATTTATGGGCTAAATTGGAATGATTTTTACTACAAGATAATATCCTTTAGGCTAAAAAGGCAAGGAGTAATTGGGCTTTCTTTAGGGATTGAAACTCTCGGTATTTTCACTCAGTAGTAAATAGTAGAAGAAAGACTGATAAAGTGGGGGCCTTTTGCAATGATGGAGGCCAATAGGTTTATGATGACCATTAACTTAAAGAGATGACTTTGAATTTCTTTACCTCTATCTTTTCCAATGGTAAGCCTACTAAACCAAGCTTGGAGAGCATAGATACTTACCCTTGCTTAGATAATGTTACTTTGAGTAATTTTGGCAGATTGATTGATGATTTTGAGATTCATGAAGCCATTCAATCTATACGAGTTATGAAAGCTTTGGAGCTAAAAGGTTTTAGTGCCATTTTTCTAAAGCTAATGGACTGTGATTGGTCCTTCAACATGTAGCTTTATAAAAATTTATTTCTTCAACCAGAAGACATTGGAGATGTAAATAGTACCTTTTTCATCTGGATTCCTAAAAAAGATCCTCCTTAGACAGTTTGTGATCTCCGCCCTATAAGTCTTTATAATGTTACAAAGATTATTACTAGACACATAAGATTGTTCCTTCCAGATATTATTTCTCCTTACTAATGCAATTTTGTTCCTAATAGATATAGTTCGAATAATATCATTGTAGCTCAAAAGGTAATCTATTCTATGAGATCTCTTTAGGGCAAAAAGGTTTTATGACCATCAATATTGATCTTGAAAAGGCGTATGATCAATTAAATTAAAAGTTTCTGACCAAGTGTCTTTAGGATCTTCATTTTCCACCACATATGATTATCCTAATTTAGACTTGTGTTTCATCCTCTTCTATGCAGCTATTATGGAATGGCATGAAGACTGACTCTTTCACTCCTTCTCAACGAGTTCATTAAAGAGATCCTATTTTTTCCTACCTATTTGTCATCTGCATGGAATGGCTAAGCTAATTGGTAGAGGAGCTGAAATGGACACCTATTATATTCGACAAGATTGGCCTACCCATTTCTCATTTGTTTTTTTGCTGATGATATATTATTATTCATAAAGGCTTCTGTGACTCGAGCCACTATGATAAAAAGTTGTCTTGATACTTTTTATGATTGTTCTAGTATGAAAGTGAATGCCACTAAAACCAAAATATTTTTCTTTAATGATATTCCTGATGGTCGTCAAGTGGAGCTTAGTTCTTCATTAGGCTTTTCTAGAATTGAAGATATGGGTAAGCACTTAGGCATCCCTTTGCATACTTAGTAGGTTAGTAAAGATATTTTCTTTGAAATTGTTGATAAAATTAAGAAGCGGCTCTCTAATTAAAAGGCCATTACTCTCTTTATGGCGGGTAGAGTGATCCTCGCTTCTTCAATTACTTCTACCATTCCAGGTTACATTATGCAAACTTCTTTGTTATCGGCTAGTACTTGTGAGACTCTTGACAAATGTGATAAAGACTTTGTTTGGGGCTCTACAAAAGAAACTTAAAAGACTTGTTTGATCTCGTGGGATCAAGTTTGTGTCAGTAAGAAACATGGCGGACTAGGTCTTAAACACACTCGTATCTAGAGTCAAGCTTTCTTGATGAAACTAAGTTAGAACAAGTTAAGAAACCTAATGAATTATGGGTCATATTCATTCATGCAAAGTATAAATGTGGATTTGAAATGTTTCTTAACATTAAAAAAAACCTTCCTAGTTCTAATACTTAGGCTGGGATTAAAAGTACAGGGGATAAAGTAAAGGAAGGACTAGAGAGAATGAATAATGGTAATGATCTCTGTTGGAAATGGGAGAATCATGGCAATTTCTCTATTCGTTCGGCTTATAATGCGCTACGTTGTTCACCTCATTCCAGTGATTTTGGTTAGGAGGAAGTCTGGAAGATAAAAACTCCTTAGAGATGTAAGAACTTCTTATGGCTCTATATCCACCATTGTCTCTTAACAAATAAAGCCAAATATCATAGGAAAATGACAATAGATAATAGTTGCTCTTAATACAATAATGATTAGGAGGATCTTATACATGTATTATGTGATTGCCTTTTGATAAACTCTGGTATGATTTAATAAGCCCTTCAAGACGCCGTTTATTCTTCTCTCTTAAGCTTAAATCTTAGCTTAAATAGAATTTAGTTCATTCAGCTTCTAATTCTTTTGATGGCTAGAGTGTGATATTCACTATTATCTGCTGGCTTATTTGAAGATGACGCAACTCTTGAATTTTTTAGAATAAAATAGAGCATAATGAATCTATTTATGCCCAAGATCTTGCCATCTTTTAAAGCATGTCTAATTTGAATGTAGCTTATCAGCAAGTGAATTGGTATGGTCAACCTCCAAGTAGCAGTGTGATCAATTAGACACCTCCTCCTAAAGACTGGGTAGTGATGAATGTGGATGGAACTTTTGATTCAATTTCTCAACATGGTGGATGTGGTGGGATTCTTAGAGATGAGAAAGGAAAGTTCATTTCTAGGTTCACTCTTGCTTAAGCAGGTACGGATTGTTTCAATGCTAAATTATGGGCGATTCTTATAGGAAGCAAACTCGCTTGGGATCTAGGAGTACGAAAAGTTTTATTTGCAACCAACTAGATGGATGGATGGAGTGAACTTAATTAAGGGCAAGGATATTGCCCTTCATAAGGAAAAGGACTTGATTGCAGAGATTTGTTCTTTTCTTCTTTGAGAATGGCAAGTCTTAATTACTTATGTCCACCATTCTACTAATAAGATCGCAAATTTTTGGCTTGTGAACCTATACACCAGTTACCTGGTTTTCATATTTTAAGTGATCTTTGCAGTATTAGTAATTTTCTTATTCAAGACTATGTAAGCTTTAGCAACTAGTTTGCTTCCTTTTCTATTAAAAAAAATAAAAGAAATCATTCACTAATTGAGAAATTAAGAAAAAGAAAAGCAAAGGTATTATAGTTTTTCTTAACAAAAATTATTTTTAAAATAAGTTCTCTAATCCTACTGTGATATTTTAGAATCTTTTCATTCTTTTTTGATATAAATTGCCTCAATAGTTCTTAAATGATACATATAACCCAAATTATACGCAAATTGCAGATAATTTCACGGCTTTTAAAAATTAACAATAAATATTTTAAAATTTCATATTGGGACAATGTAATCTTTAATTTCTTATGGTTGGGGCAAATTTAATTTACATTATTTCAATCCTTTACATTTCATTAATTTATTTAAGTAGTCTTTAATCTTATAAGAAAAATTAACACAGTTAAATTAGTCTTTACATTGTTATTGCTTCAATCTTTTTGAAACTCAATGGTCATTTTTCAAATATTTTACGCTTCAGATACAGTATGTACACAGTGAAGCAGAATTTAAATTATATATATTATAAAAATATATGCATTTCAAATTTTAATTGATAGTCTCATTTATAATAACAACATATATATTTGGGAGAATGACAATTAAATCCCAAAAGAATGAATTAATGACAGTTATGTCTCCAATAAAATTTCTTACAAAATGAATTATAAATATTAATTCAAACAGTTATACACAATAAAAATTTCTGTTACAAATTTAAAAATTATATTTGATATTTAAATATTTATTTGTAGTTGAAACTTTTGAATTTGTAATAATTTGGATAAATATCTTCAACTTATTTTTTAAAAAAATTTAAAAACTTAATTGATATTAATTCAGTATTTTAAAATCTAACTGTCATTGTCCCTGTATATTTTCATTAAATGAATACTCTATAGTTTCAAAATTATTGTTAAAGTCTGGGCCCCGAAAAAATGATCGGTGAAGGATTTTATTTGGTTTGGGTTCAAAAAATTATCTAACTCTGAAACAATAATTAGAAGTTTATAAGGAGCAAATAGCTAGCTTGATTAATTAGAAGAGAGATTAACAAGAAAAAAAAAAGATATAGAATTTGACATAATAAGGCGAGAAAAATTAAAATTTATATAATTAACTGAAATCACATGTACATATATAATTATTTATCCTACAAACTATAACAGACACTCGTTGAGTTTTGCTAAAATATGCAAAACTCCCGTTATTTTCTTATACAAATAAATATATCAAAGAAAAGACAAGGGTGATTTAGTTTGTGTAATTTCAGTAAAATTCAGAACATAATTTACTCAATTTATTTACTTTATATACCTATCTGATAATTGAGACTAATAATACTCGAATATTATCCAATCAGATAGACATATAAAATATATATATATATATATATATTGAGTAAATTATGCTCTGACTTTTACTGAAATCACACAAATTAAATACAGAAGAGAATTAATTAGAAGGAGGAATGGTATTTGTGGTGTGTTCCTGGTTGGACAAGAAGAATTTGACAAAATTAGGGTCCACATTAAGAGATACTTCTTGAACTTGAGGAGACATGGCTTCCCATATTGATGGCTTCCCAGCTAGCTCTTCAAACACAGGCCTGCAAATTATTCAATTCACATCAAGAGAACAACAAATCATAAATAAGAATTGGCACATCAAATTAAACAAGTTATTAAATGGGATTATTGTTTTGCAAATAATGATATATCCAAAGATCAGAGTTAATTATTGATATAGATAAATGACATCATAAGATTCATACAAGCGATATGACTCGGTGGATTATTAAGGCTTCTTGTTATGTTATGTATTGAAGTTTCAAATGCAATATCACGTTATAATTTAGAGGGAAAATCAAGCATGAAAAGAAAAGAACTCACCTTTTTGTTGTGAGGATGGAGTACAACTCCATTCCATCTTCACTAGCAATTTGTGTACTCACAAAGAACTTAGGAACAACAATCAATTGACCAGCTTCAACTTGAGAATCCAACACTGATTCCCCATTCAACCCCACAATCTCAATCTTCCCACTTCCTCTGGCAACATAAATCACTTGAACAGAAGGGCTCCTGAGGTATAGTGGTGTTGCAATGGCATTGGGTTCAAGCTTCACTCTGATCATGCTCAGCCCAACTTCTCCAGCAAAAGGGAAATCTAAGTCAGTCAAGGTTGTGACCAGCCCTCTATGTTTGACCCCATGGTCTGGTTCTGCAGCATCAATGTTGTACACCATCTCTTTGGTCTTGTCCATTTGAGGGGCTGGCATTCTGGGTTGGCCTTTCTTAAGCTTAAGGATTAGAACTCCTTTTTGGCTTTTTGTGAGTCTTTTTGCTTCTTTGTTGGTCAAACTATAAGCTTTGGTAATAACCTCAGAGGAAAAGCCTCCCATAATTCCTTGAGTTCCAGCAAGAAGGAAGTAAGTGAATTGACCAGGAACATGAGCCTGAGATGTTTCACCCAGAAACACTATGATCAGTTCAGACTCCCCGTTGTTGAACCACCATGAGACTGCTCCCATAGGTACTGGGATTACATCTCCTTTCTTTAATTTCAAAATGACCTCTTTGTCTGTGTTTGGGAGCACCATTCCAACTACGCCATCGGTTCCTGTGTGGGCCACACCATTAAAGAAACTTAAGGTTGAGTTTTTGATTAAGTGACGAATGCTTATAATACAATTTGTAACTAATTAAAAGAAAACGTGATGTAGAAAGTTTTTGACCTACCTTGAATGACATAACCAAGTTTAGCAGAATCTGCATAATGAGGGAGAGCAAAGCCTTGAGGTTGAAGAACAAGCCGACCAGCACCAACGTTGTTCTGAGCCAGAACTGGAACCTGAGAACTTGACCATAAGTAGTAAGATCCACCATCTCCTTCAAATATGGGTTCGGCTTTCTTGGGTGTCAAATCCATCTCCATTTTCTTTACTGACCTGGCTTTCCTTCAAAAAAAAAAAAAAACACTTCAATGAAATTCTACAGAGACAATAACATTTCATTCAAACAGTTTCTCTTAACTCTTTACAGATATATTTCAAGAAGATAAAGTCACACACACACACACACAGAGAGGAACCTGTTGTTTTAGAGAAAAATGCAAGAGGAGGGAGAGATTATTAACGGGTTTTTATTATAGAGCCAAAGGGGTATGGAGCCATATATATAGACTTTTTTTGATCAGACATGTACATTTCTTTTTTTAAAAAAATAATAATATATGTCTGACTTTTTATGTTGATAAATTGTCCCTTAGGGCACCGGCCACCTATAATCACAGATTGGTTCCAAAACGATTGGTTTTTGAAGACTTTTTGTTTGCTTCTTTGCCTCACCTTGTCATTTTTATTTGGTATTTGAAGTTATTAATATTTTGTTTTCTTACGTATCCCAAAATGCACGTGATATAGATAGATATATTTTCGTTTTTTTCCCACCCATAAAACTGACAATTTCAATTATCTCAACATGTCAATGTTAATTTGGAAGTGATAATATAAGACCCTTGAAGAACAGCTTGACAAATTGATTGTGATAAACCCTAATACAATCATCGCATCATATTACGTGATTAAAAAACCGTATTTGTAATTTTGTATTTTACTCTAATGCGCATATAATATGATAGACAGATCACGTTTAATTTCTAGATACAAGTTAATAACATATTATAAAATTTGCGTTATTATTTTTAAATTTCTTGGGAATGTTCAAAACTAATTATAGAATTTATAGAGAACTCAATTTTAGTTTTTTAGTTATTTTTTATTAACATCTATATTATTTTCAAATACTTATTTATCTGGTAATAAAAACTTATTTAAAACTAAAAAAATTTCTTGCATAATTCATATCCTAAAATTTTTAACTTGTGTTTATTATCCAACATATTGTATCGCATCCATACCTTCACCGTCATAGAAATTCCATTAAATTCATAATTATATTTAAAATTTCTTTGTTTGAGATTACCACATAAATATATCCATCATAAAATGACTCAAAAAGATTGATGTATACTTGATTTAACTAGTTAAGAGAGTTAGATTCACTTATTCTAAAATCACAAGTTCAAGTCAATATATCAATGATATTTTTGAGATACTTATAAAATTACCGTCGTTAATATTAATGCTCTTACACAGCAACGGTTCAAATGAATTAGTCTAGGACTTTGGACAAGTGGTGATAATATTTCATATTTTCTAGAATACGAGGCAATGAAAGAAAAATATGACTCAAAAAGAGTTATTGAAGTTTTGGCCTTGGCCTCAAGTGCACCTACTTTTTCTATCACTTTCATTTTTCTTGCAAGTGGTTGCAAACAATCTTTCTATTGAAAAATCTACCTATATTTTATTGCAGATTTCAAAATTGAGTAAAGGGAAAGAGTTGTGTTAGGCTTTTAATAATATATAACTCTACTAAATTTTATATATGTGGCATTATGCAATTTATATAACCTATCTTATCTAATAAGAGAAGGCTAATTGTCATTAATTGTACATCTTTTCGCTAAAATTTTCATTGTTGCCCATACCCTATAGTTTTCACCCTAATAATGGATAACTAAGTATTTGTTATTGATCTCATTTGTTTTAAATTCTTTGTCATGTTGTAGAATAGGCTGTATATAAAGTTGGCCCCCCAAAAAATAAAGGAACAGGCTGTATATGCGTTATGAAGATAAAAGGAAAGGGACGTATGTGGTCTGTGATCTTCTAAGAACCAGAATTGCACACTATGAATATCTCTCTATCTTTTATTCTTTTTTCTAGAAGGGACGATTCAGGTAAGATCTGATGTAAATGCAACTTTTTATTTACTAGTGGGATCTGGGCAGTGGGAAGGGGGTCACCATGTCTCTTCTCTTCTTGAGAATTCATACATTCTTTATCAATATTTCTTATTAATATATGGACAATTATTTTTTGAGCACAAGTTTAGGTTTGGCCTCAATGGAAAAATAAAAATGGAGCACCTAAAACGTATTTTCATAAATCAAGAATTACAAGATTGCCCCTTTTGTGGACAATTAATATCAATAGCAATATTAAATGTCACCGTTAGCTATAATATAATTAAATTACATGGACGTCAGATATTTTATTATCTCTAAGTTACATATAATGCGCAGTTTTTTTTTTAGCTTCAGACAATGAAATTTTGCAAAATCCTCTACACTCATTATTATTTTTAAATTTAGATTTGTTTTAGATGTTGGCTCAAAAAAATTGCTTCAGTTGGTTCAAAGTTCAAATCATATGGTGTGGCTTGGTTTTTCTTTTTCTTGTTTTGTTGTTTATTTTGTTTTTTCGCGGAACTAGTCGGTGTGTATTTTTGTTTTCTTTGTGGTTTAATAATATCAAATTTGTTTTTTGACCCAAAAAATCGTCGCGCGTGGCTAAGACAATTAGAAAGGCTCTTCACCATCTAAGTATATTTTTAATTGGAAAAACAATAAAAATAGGTTCCTGTATTTTTGGTTTTCCTAAAGTATCCCTATAATCCATAACTAGTAGATTAATCTCCCGAATAATTTAAAATCATTTAAGAATTGTTCTCCTATATGATGCTTTCTATACACACTTTTAGAAATCAAACTCTGAAATAATATTAAGAGGTCCTAATCTATTTTAATTGTGCTTTACTTTAGTTTTTATAGTTTTATTTCGTTGTTCTCAAATAAATTCCCTTAATTTCACCCATCTACAACGGTAATTTTTTTAGTTTTAAAAATGTGCATAAGAACCATGAGTTAGCCCCAATAAAGTTAATATTGCTTATTACATGTATTTAACTTTGTTAACTCCTTTCTTAACGTGTACTTAATCTCATTTTCGTCACCCACATTCTGTTTAAGCCAAATATAAAAGAAATTATTTTCTATTTACTTTTTTTAATCATACCTGATCAATTTATTTTCATGCCATCAACATATTTTAATCATGTCAGCCAAGAAATTAGTAGAGTTAAAGCAAAATTACCTCCATCAATGCCATCTCATGGTCTTTATGTATAAGTTTAAAATTGTAGGGATTAACATTTCATATAAATCAAACTAAAGGAAGTAAAAATAATAAAATAAAACTATAGGAGTTAAAAACAAATCACAATCAAAGTATACGGGTATGTTGTTGTGTTTTCCTCTTCTTTTTTTTAAAAAAAAAATTAACTTCAACCACTTGTAATAATTTGAAGAATAAAATGAGCAACACAACTTTAGTGAAATTAATTACACATCGGCACCTTTAATAAGTCAAAACAGTTTTAGAAACACAAGGTGACACGTGAACACATATCTATACCAAGAATTAAAAATGACTTGACACGTAAATGTAACCGAATGTTACGTGACGCATCCAATTCTTCACAAAAGGCAATGTAATACTCCCCAATCTCTCCAATCTGTTTGGGACACACATGGCACAATTCTTTTTCAAATGAATTTCTTTTAAATAAAAATTTTGTAAAATAAATCACTTCTACATAAAATACTTTTAACACTTGTTAAATTTAATTTTTCACATCAATTTTAGGATCGATGTAGAATTCACTAGTAGTAAAAGTGTTCACTTTTAACATTAATTGTTTGATCGGTATGAAAAATCACTTTTCACACTAGGTATAAAACAAGTGTAAAAAGTGCCACTTTTTACACCAATTTTAGTTATAACCCAAAAAACACTTTTGTTTAAATCAATTTGCAGAAATGGGCAGCTTTCTCACAACAAGACACGCCACTTTCTTGATGAGGGATGCACGTCAAGAGATAGAGAGGAAATCAGAGGCAAGAATTATATGAAAGTGTCTTATATTTTAAAGTAAAAAAATCTCTTTAAAAGTAGTTTATAGAAGTATCTTATAATTTGAGACAGAGGAATATAATTGCACCCATCAATCTACACCTGGAATGGATCCATATTAGTGGAAGTAAATTTTTTGTTTGTTTTGTGCTTCCGCGTGCAGCAGCTATAAAACAAACAATAAATATATGCAATGTGTTTTCAAAGAAAAGGGAACAATTATCAAAGAATGCGGCCTTAATTATTCTCTATTTTTTTTTGTGTGGCCAATGCGGCCTTAATTATTCAAAGAAGCGAAGTGTGGCCTTTTTTTCTTCCGCCGACATCCGTGCGTACGGTCCAATTCTTCTCGTGAAGGGCTTTTTTCCAAAGTGCGAATTTATTGCTTTTTGCTTGCTGGAACCAAATCCCACACTCTTCCGTGTTTCATAGTGCAACGGTTTTTTTTTTTTTTTTTTGCCCTTTTCAAAGAAAATTTCTGTTTCAAATTCATATTCTTGTTAGAAGTTCAAAACAATATTTAATATTTTTTATCTCAAATTATAAAATAATTTTAAATAACATCTTACATATTAATAAATTTCATGATAACTGATGCTTCTTCTGATTCAAAATATAAGTAACTTTCAATAATAATTCACATAATGATTCAAAATCTTTATTTTTATGAAAATATATATTGTTTTTTCTTTTTATCCTTAATCCCAAATTATGAAAATGAAAAGAAGGTTAAATTTATATATAGTTGTAAGTTTTAGACGAGGAAAAGGTGGCTTGTGAGTTGTGAGTTGCACAGGATGAGTTATCGCTTCGTGGAAGCGGAATTATGACATACTCCTTTTAATTTTTATTGCTAGAAAAACTATTATTTTTGACTTATATTTTTTAATAAGAAAAATTACTTATTTTAATAAGCACTTATTACTCATTTTTTAAATCATCCTTCATAATTTATATTAATGAAAAACAATTAATATATACTTATGTTGATTAATAAAAGACACTTTAATCTATTTTTTTATTTTCAGATATAATTATTATAGTTAACTAATTTTTTTAAACCATATAATACAGTTTTTTTCTTATATATATATAAAAAAAAAGAGGGAATATCAAATACATAGTCAAAGAGAAGAGGGGAGAGGAAGAAAGCATGGTTTTGGAAAATGCAGAGAGAAGTTGAGTCATGTTTTGTCTGTACTAAGGTACTGAAAATTAGATCGGCCATTGAACCGATCAAGGTCAGGGGTTTAATCGGGGGTCAACTCACAGTCAAATCGATCATAATAAAATAAAATAATTTAAATAAAAATACATTATCCAATACTTAATATCAAATTATAACAGTGAAATTACACATAAAAATATCAAAGCTTGAGCACTTGAGCACACTTGAACACAAAATA